AGGAAAGGAAAGGAAAGGAAAGGAAAGGAAAGGAAAGGAAAGGAAAGGAATGGAATGGAATGGAATGGAAAGGAAAGGAAAGGAAAGGAAAGGAAGGAAAGGAAAGGATGAATGAAGAACAGCTTCAATCAAAAACTTACCATCTGAAACCATTGTAAATTCTGTGGAAGAGCATAGAACATTTCATATCAAACCAACTAATAAATTCAAATTCAGCTACAGTATTTTACATGACTAAAACTGAGAAACCTTAACCTTTGACTCAGTAAAGAAAACTGGGGGTTGCGTTATTCTGCTGGCTGCACATTGTTTTCTTATTAAACCTTTTGCAAATCCACACAAAGTTCATTTGAATGTTCACTTTCATTTAACAAACATTTGTTTCCTATCTCAGGAAGATGAAGCCTTTTCTTTAGCAGTCAACACATCTACGATTCTCACCACTCAAAACCTCACAAAATCAAACTTGTCTAAAAGTTGTTCTGTCCCTCCGATATCGTCAACCCAAGCTGTCCTGGTAGCACCTGGTGACCCCACACCTTTATTAAAGCATCACATTTTGCTCTTCCCTCTGGTTTATCACTGATCTGTGGATCATAAGAGATCTCACCACATTCGGGTGTTTGCCCTGGGCCACACAGCCTCGCTCCAGTGGGTCCCTCATTCCTTTTTTTCTCTTCCTCAGCCACATCAGCATGGACAGGAAACCTCCCAGCACGGCCATGAACACCAAGCTCAGAAACAAAGCTTTACCCACGGTGCAGCCTGTTAGGCGTTCTCCCAGAGGGACTGCGGTGCACAAAGAGAAACATGCACGGATCTTATTTCGCTCGGCATCAGAAACTCTGTAGAGAATGCAGGTGGAGCGTAGAGGTGTGGGAACTTACTCAGCTGTCCTTCAGGTAGTACCTCCACCACCACGGTGGCAAATGCTGTTTCACCCGACTCCTGGTCTACAGCAATTACCTGGAAAGGATTATTGTAAATTGAATTTATGTGAGGAAGTTCCTGGGTTTAAAAAAAAGGTGTTAACAAAGACAATGATTGGCTTGTTCAAACCTCCAGAATGTGTTTCTGCTTTGGTTTGAGATGATTGGTTCTGGCGATCAGAAGCCCCCCCTGTGTGACTTCATAGAGGTCTGTGTGCCTGGAAGCATCACTAAAGCTGAAGTAGATCATTGGATTGAAACCCTGTTCGTTTTGTGGGAAGCAAGAATCTCAGTTAGTAGCAAAAACAAATCCAGAATTGAATCAAACTGTGGTACGGTGTGAACAGTATGTACAGATTCAGTATCCCGTACTTGGTTGAAGTCTTGGTCCTGAACATTTAATACCAGAGCTATGCTGCCGTACGTATTGACCAGAGAAGCTTGGCTCATTCCCGTCGTTACGAAGCCATGATATTCAGCCAAGTTGAACTTTGGAGAAAACCGATTAACCGCCAGAACTCTGACCAGCGCAGTGGCAACGGAGTACTTCCTGGGGTCATTGTCCTGGTACGCCTAGGTGCAAAAGAAGCCGGAGTAATGTGGACACTGGAAATTTAATTTAAAGAGAATTTCCTACAATCCTACTCTAAGTCTTACCATGACCTGAAGCTTCAGCATTGGAGTGACGAGTCTGTCTGTCACACCTTTAATCAGTTTCACATCTCCTGTCTTTCTGTCCATACTGAAATGTCCGTCTTTGTTTCCTAACAGGAGCACAAACACAGTTCCAGATGTGAGCTGAGCACGTCTTAGATATAAGCCTTCACTGGGGGGGGAGTTTTGTACCTGAGAGAATAACGTAGCTGACTGAAGAGCTCAACCCTCTGTCTTCATCCTCTGCATGAATAGGCCCAGGAGAAAAGTCCAACACAACGCCCTTCAACATGAACTCCAGTCACAATTAAACATATTCCTGGTATAACAGTGTCATATTTTTGAGGAAGAGTATGGCAGCTGACCTCTTCGCCCTCTGTCACATTGACCGTGTACATGGGGCTGGTGCAGATCCGGCTGGTTTCGTTTTGGAAAAGCAAAATGCACGGCTGGAACTCGGGGTTCTGGTCATCTCCATCCAGGACTGAGATGGTGATGGTGGTGCTGGTGTTGAAATGCTCTGCAGTGTTCATTTCCTGTACAAATTCATCATTTTAAACTGATCAAACATGAGAAGGGTGAACAAATTAATCCTAGCTAGGAGAGTTCAGCTTCTCATCATCAAATCATTTAAAAGTTTTAAATAAATGTGGTGTGTATATGATATACGCAGACAAAGAAACAGGGGTTAGAGGTGAAGTGTACACACGGCAGCATAGATGGTGACGGTGAGCAACGTTTTGGTTTCATAGTCTAGAGGTTTGGAGAGGATCACCTCTCCACTGTTCGGCAGATCAATTCGGAAATACTCTGCATCAGGCTGCAAAAACAGACACATCAGTAGCAAATAAGGAATTGTTTGTCTTTTGTGTCTATATATATTTTTAAAAAGCTTAAATGTACTTACTGATGCCTGGTCAATTGAATAAATAATTGTGTCATCATCTGCATCTTTGGCCTGGACAGTGAATGCTACAGTATTCACTGGAGTCATCTGAAAAGACACAGAAACAGATAAAAAAAAATGAATAGATGTATGTGTGTGTGTGGTTTGTGTATGTGCTTGTGAAAATTTCATACCTCACTCAGAGTGAAAGTTCGAACCATGTTTTCTGCAAACGTGGGTAAATTGTCGTTTTCGTTAAGAATCTCCACCAGGATTCTGTAGTAGCTCTATCAAAGTAAAACACATAAATTGATTTGAATATAGTGAAATATGCTGATAAAGAAAATGTGTGTGAAGTTTGTAATATGAGATCGACCTGAAATAAGTTCTCTTCTTGACACGATAACTCAGCCATTAAGATTGGACCCAGGGTCTGAGAGAAAAAACATCACATCTTTGTGTGAAATCTTTATTAATATAAATGCCAAAATAGAAACAACTGAATCTAAATATTAATATTAAAATATTTACGTATATATGTTGAAATAACTTAATTCTAATTTGGTTTACTTTTGCACATAGTTTTTTTAAAGCCTTCAAAAATCAAATCATGGCTCATGGCCCTGTATATGTATTTTGTATGTTGTTTCTGCATTTATTTTACACAAAGAAAAAGTAATTTAGCATTTATTGCACAGCTATTGCACCAATTTTACAATAAAGCATAAAATTGTTGATTCTTGGTCAAATTCAAGAGATTATCCAGAATATTTTTTGTGCCAGTTACACGACTCAGTGTCTCAGTGTCCCTGAAGAATACATTTGTTTGGAAAGTGGTGACTTTTTACAATCTTGCACTAAATAATTTTAGTTTCTAATCGTGTATTTTTAAGATAAAGTAGCAGAAATAATCAGGCTAAAGGTCAGAGAGAGAAACAGATAATCTGGTTGGCCTTGTGCTCTTGGCTGCAGTAAATAACAGACTGTGTTGGCACTGAAGACAAGGCTATAGAGTCCAATCACTGTTTGTTCCACACTGAGATATAACTTTTTATTGCAGCACCAGACTATCACAATAGATTTATTGAGATTGCACAGATAAAAATCCAGGGATTTTGGATTTTATTTTTTCATTTTCTGGTTTTAAGACAGCTCTAAATCTCTCTGACCCTGGCATGTCATCCGTCAGTACCTCCCTGTCAAGGATCTTTTCTGCTGATGAGTTCAGCCGGATGTGTTTCTCGTCCAAGTAGAACCACTCGGCGTCTTTCCCAAACAGACTCCAGCGAAGCCCGTTTGGTTCTGCGGTGTCAGCAACGAGCTCGGCCACGACTTCCCCCGGGGGGCTGTTTTCTTTAACTCTTGCTAACACGTCCTGGCCTTCCAAACATCCGGACCAGCCTGACATTCCTGAGCGGACACAAATCACGCACAAACTGAGACTTATTTATTTCTGTGAGAGGAGCTCGCACAAATGTTGGAGAGACCGTGCAGTGCTTGTGAACCTGCAGCCGTGTGCAGACGTAAGAGGAGCAGCAGGGAGCAGAACAGAGCCTGAGAAATCAGCTCAGAGGGAGCCATGCCTGGGCTCAGTTTGACCTCAGGGGCTACTTCTCCCTGAGTGAAGAGAGATGAGAGCAACAGTGAGGCTACGTTACACTTTCCTGAATGGACTGATGTATAAAACCACACTGTCTACACTGTCTTATAATTCCCTCAAATCCCCTCTAAGTGGGTTCCTGCAGGGCTTTGCACAGCCTGGGAGAGAAAAGGAAACATTAGAACCATTCTTTACGGCTGTTGCTTCACATTTCTTTGAGCTCAGAGTTATTTTTACGTTTCCTGTACACATCTCTGACCTGTTAATCTGCTGAAAGGTTGTTTTATTTCTAAACCGCGTGACGGCATTCATCTGCTCTTTTCAAACCACAGATTGTGGGACGACCAGAAGCTTTTTACAAAATCTACATCAACAACCGCAGCAAAGTGACAATGATGACCGAGATTGTTTACCAATCAAAAGCTGACTGACCTGTTGTGGTCAAATCCCCTGCAGCCCGTCTGTCGGCCTCCATGTTCTCCTGACCTGTGATGGACTCCACATCTTTGTCAAAAACGCTGGTAAAAGCCGATGACTATCGTAGAAAGAAAGATTGGCAGGTGCTTTCAGGAATAAAAAAGACGGCAACAAAAGATAACATCACATGCCACCAAACGAAGCCCCCCTCTCTTCCCTCCCACACACACACACACACATTAAAAAAACAGATGACAGCTTATGTTGTGTGTCCTGGGATAAACGTCAGCTCACAGGCTAAAAGCTGAAGGTGGGGCTTTACCTGGACAAGACTCCAATCAGATTAGAGAGCGATCAAAGACTGGGTCATAGGTCCCTTTACATTCAATGTGTGTCATGGAAACTCATCTCATCAGACCAATTAACAAAGAATTCATTTCAAGCAGTGTAACCTACAAATGTGCATCGAGGTATCGTACAGGTTCTTATATGAGTCAGAGTTTGTATTTTGGCCACACGGTTTGTCCCGGCTGAGATTTATTCAATTGGCAACGTGTGGTAAACTAATAGGGCCTGACAAGGGATTAGCTATCAAATGTCTGCTGTTTAACTTGTGAGGATTAACCCACATCTCGCTCCTCGCTTGTCGCAGCATGCAGAGGCATGCAGACACAGACAAAAAGACACATGAAAACACAAAACAAAGGAGTTCGCCTCAACACTTTGGGCGTCCTGTGATGAAAAGCTGCTGTCAGGATCCTATCATGTGAAGTTTTTGTTCTGAAACAGGAAGTCTTAAAGTTTGATGACTGAAATTGGGTAATCTGTATTCTGCTTCAACATACTAAGGATTTCCCTGATATATATTTTTTTCATGTCAGTTGCTCTGCTCCAGATTTTGGGAAGATTTTAATGCGAGTCAAAGGAGATGGACGTCTGTCTTTTGTTTCTGGACATGACCACTGGATGTCAGCAGAGACTTGGTAAAAAGATGGGAGAGACAGAGGCAGATGAATTTAAAAACAAAACAAAACAGATATGACTTTTTTTATCATTCACACAATTTGTCTGATCATTGTGTTTTCTCTTGCATCTGTCCTGAGTTTGGAGGACCAAATCTGACATAATTAAAAATAAAAGCAGAAACAAATAAATGACCCAATAAAAAAACTTAAAAGGCACATTTATATTCCAGCTTAGTTACAACAAATTATATATTTTAGCACATAATTAAAATTTTACTGTTTTTCAAAATAAACATCGTTGTTTGTTTCTTTTACTTCTAGATACATTTGTGTCTCTTAAATGTTCTTATAATAAATTATAAAGTTTTTATTATTTTTATACCTGTCTTTTTATTTCCATGTGTTATTTTTATGTCTCCTGATTTGTGCATGCAGAAAAAATGTAAATAACATGAAAATTGGAGATAAGAGACACAAATGCACTTACAAGTAAAATGAAAAACAAAAATGCACATATATTTTTTTAAAAAACGTAAAATTTAAATTATGTTCTGAAATATGTCATTTGTTTGAACTACGCTGGAAAAATAAAAATGATGATCATTTAAATTATAAACCATGAGGCAACTTGAATTGGTTCATTTTAAGTGTATTTATTTAGTTATTGGGCCATTTATATATTTCTGCTTTTAATTTTAATTATGTCAGTTTTGGTCCTCCATATATAATAACATAAACATGTATTATTGTCTGCGTTTAAAGAACGCTTGATTTTATTTAAATATCTTACCTCCTTTAGAAAAAAATATTCAAAATTAGCCTTCTTTAAAATCTGCTGATTTATGAATTCCATTTTAAAAAATATGTTTATCTTTCTGCTAGAGCACTGTTTCCCAAAGTTGGGGTCGGGACCCAAAGTGGGGTCCTGAAACATCAAGGTGGGGTCCTGACAGGATTTTCTGAATTAATTACATTTTTGCCTTAGTTGTTACAAAGGAGTGAGGTTAGTGTATTTAAAATGGATAAATGTAATATAAAAATATTGTTACTATGTCCATGTTTTGTTAACCTGATTCAAATGTTTATCATCCAAAAATAGTTGTGGGCACAGGTCTCTGCTACTGTTATTTTGTGGGTCAAAAGCTGAAAAGTTTTGGAACCACTGCACTTTGGTTCCCAA